TGCACAGAAGCTAGCACCTGGGTTCATATATTAGGCACATAAAATCAAACTTTAGAGGGATTTACATTGGCATAGTATATTGTGTTAATGCCCAAACCTGTGAGCTGGTAAACTTTTTGCTTTAGAAAAGTGAGATGAAGTGTAAAACTTGTAATCTGCCTTAAGCCCCTTATTGCAAAAAATAATAATATGTTGGAGGATGTGTTTCAGAGTCGTGAATGAAATATTTTAGACTTTGAGGATGGCTTAATTGCCGCCGTTATCGCCGAGATAGACTGTGTGCATTTTCTTTGAAGACTGTGGTTAGATTTACAACGCTGGAGCTCTGTGTTATTATAGCATCCGATTCTCTTCCTCTGTACAGTTTAGAGAAAAGAATATTATGAGAGAAAGTTAATTGCCCCGTAAAATATGTATGAAGTCATGAAAAGTTTGTCTCGCTCAATATCTTTATATTGTTATTCATCATCGTTTTACGGCATAAATTCAACTGTTATCATTCCGGCTCAGGCCCTGGAGGTATTGTATACATGTCTTGTTGTGACACATCACATTTTCATTACTGTAACTGAAATTAAGTGTCACCGCTAAAATAAAACACCTTAGGTACCGGCAGGGCTCCGGAGACTCATCCTCAACCCCACCTCCTTCTCAAGGATGCTGACAATTTAGACCGTACAATTGCATTTGGAATTCACACGCAGTTTGATGCATCATCTTTTATGAGGAACATCTCTCCATCGTACCTAGAGGGGGCTGAGCGGGGCGAGGGCCCATCAATCAAACTGAGCGACGCCGCCGAAGATTCTCAGTCACCGCTGAGCATCTCAAGTTTTTGAGCGAGAGAATGAGACCTTTTGTTTATCAGCCAAGATTCGGCAGTCTGTTCAGCAGCCTCGCAGCAAGGGCATCCAGCTGATTATCAGATCCTCGACGCGAGGCTCCTTCAGACAGACAGCGACGAACCTCCGTGCCTCTAACAGGTGGATTCAGGAATCAGTTTAACATAATGATTTCACAGGCTCGTGGACGTTTGTGAATTATTTCAGTCTCTATTTTTTTGTTAACAAAAGGCAGCCCTCAGAGGTCATTCCGGGTGTCTATTTTCGTCAGTGGCGCTGATGGATGGGTTGTGAGAGCGTTGCCCTAAAATGGTGATTAATGACTGTGGCTGCTCTGGATCAGATAAAGCCTTTGAGGTATTTGTCAAACCCTTGCAAATCAATTTTTCAGCGTTGCTGGCGTTCACCGCGAAGAGATTCATACCAGTTTGAACTCCTTGATCGCGTTTTAATCCGACTTCCGATGAAGTTGTCCTGAGAGAGCCTGAAATTGTTAACGAAAAATATTGGCAAAACAGTTAATCTCTGGCCCTCGGAGCGATTCATCATTCACTGTTGGCGTTATATATGTGTGTATGCGGTTCATTTTCTCCGCGATCAGTGATTCTAACTTTTCTCACAGATTCCTCTTAAGCTGCTGTAGCTTTGATGATGTGAAACTCTAATTGAATTTGATGCTCTAATAGGACGTCTGTAGCAACTTAAGAGTGCCGTAGTGAGGTAATGAACTGGATAACACTGTTTAGGGGAGTCACTGTTGAGTTGGAGCTCAACCTTGTGAAAAGGTGATTTTCTGTCTTTAAAAAAAAAGAAAGAAAGACGAAATAAAGAAGAGGAGTCATGCGTTTTCAGCTCTTGGCCAGGGTGACTCCTGCAAAGGATTTTCTGCCATTACCTTTAGTAAAGAGTTTATGGGTGGAGAGACGTTCTATTCTTGGAGGAATCGAAACAGCTTCCACGTTTATCTGGAATTGACAGCTGTGCTGACTTAATGAAGGTTCGTAATTAACATGGATTTCCGCTAATGTTCAGGGCTTTTGTCTCTTAAATTGAAAGTATTAATCCCATTAGTTTGAAAGTACGTAGCAGACTCATTTGAAATCCACAGACCCTTTGTTTAAGAATCAGTCAGTAAATGAAGCATTTGGCGTTTCTTTGAATAAAAACTGCAAAAAGAAAAAAAAAAAAGAAGCATGGCAGGTTCCTGATTTCACATGTAAAGAATGAGTAGCTGTCTGTTTGATTTCACCTGAGAAAGCCTCAGATTTTTTAAAAAAGATGTTTTTCAAATGCTGTAGTTTTGCTGTGATCTTCCGATGTTTTCCTTTAAATTTCCTAAGGTTGAATTGATTTGCATATTCTGTATACCCAGCAGTCCTTATCTTGTCCTTTCTGCCTCAGTGTCCTTGTCGGATGTGAATTTCCACCCTAATTTGAAAAAATGCGTCCCGGCTGCAGATTACTGCTGAATTGTGTACGTTGTGCAGGATTTTTTTTGTCACGCCCTCCTGGGTTTCTCTTTGCCAGTTTCAATCACCTTGCTCATGATGAAAGAGCTTAGTGTTGTAAACATAAATACCAAACAATATGAACCGAATCAAAAGACAAGAAAAAACCTTAGACAGCCTATTATTCCGATTGTTTGATTTGGGATAAATTTGATTTTCTAATAGAAAAAACAAAACAGCAACTTTTTGGAAATACCCGCGGTTTGAATCCAGTCAGGGATCTGTGTACATCACACCCTCCCTCTGTCACCCCGCGTTCCTCCCGTCTGCCTCCTAACAGATCATGTTCCAATAAAGCCCAAAATGCCAAAAAAACAAATGGGATATGAATATTTATATCTCGAATAAAGGAAGTTTGCGGCGGACAGCGAGGGGAGAACGGGAGCTCGGGCGCCCATCACAATACTACGCTTAAACAGTATCTCTGCTCTTTAGCCATCTGCTCGCACACCTGCTTCCGGCCTTGTTGCATACAGTTACATCCTATACCGTCTAATGTCAAGCTCCAAATTCTCCAGCTGTTATTTACAAGTCAGAGCGAAATGTTAATACCAAATTGCTGGTGTCCCTCAGCTGAATAAGGGGCTCGTTACGGATGCAGGTGCCGGTTTGTTTGGTTGTGTTCCCCCCTCCGCTCTCTTACATTTTCTCTGGAGGACGGCTCGGTGATATGCACATCAGGGTTTGACAGTTTTTGCTTTAGATTCATTGAATGCAGCAGCATGGAGGGTTTGTCAGGTGGATTCACCAGCGCCATGCCAGATGAACGCACTGTTTATTTAGATTTATGGAAATATTGATGCAGAGGAACAAAGAATCCTAACATCTGTTTTATTTCAAGTTGTGTAGTGCAATTTTTTTTTTTTTGCACAGAAAATTTCCCTTTAATGAATTTTAAATTATACGGCAATTACTCAAATTGCAGCCTATTGTGTTCTTTCAAAGGCACAAGATCAGATAAGGTCGCTTGGAAATTGAAAGTCTGAGAAATGGTGGTCTCTTTCTGTCCTTGACATTCAAACCTTGATGTCACTTTGGGCTTTTTTTTTTTTTTTCTCCTTTTTACTGAAAATGTGTCCTCATTACCTGTATCTCATTAACTGTATCTTTAAAAACATCTGTGTTTAATCCTGTTCAAGATAGAGCTACTTAGCGCTATCTGCAAATCAAATTCATTACCACATTTAAATTGTTGATTGATGTTTACTTAAAAAGCGTTTCCTTTTCATGTCGTGTTAAAGAGATGCGCGGCAAATAGATGCACTGTTCTTGACTTCGCATTCCTCGGCCCTCTGAGCTTTTTTAGCAACATAAACAGCAAACTGTGAAAAGCTTTTTCGTCCTTCAATTCAGGGACTTGTTAGGCGTAAACACGTTTTTACTTTTTATATATTTCACTGCAGCGGGTGATTATTTCAGGAGCATCTCGGGCGGTTGTTCTAACTTTTTGTAATCTCCTCCCCTGTGAATATTAGACTATTCTTGTAACCCGACACAAGCGCAAACATAAAACCTCATGCCTGAACTTGTAGTGCAACTGTTCGTACATGAATTTGTTACTCATACCAGTATTGATTTTTGTGTCCTTTCTTATAGGATTATGTTGTTACGGAACAACACTCTGAAAATTGTTAACTCCAGCCGAGCGGATGAGGGGAACTATGTGTGCCGGGCAGAGAATCAGTTGGGCTCGGCAGAGATGACTGCCATACTGTGGGTAAAAGGTAAGTGATGCCCTGGAGGCCTTTATTTTCTGCCAAATTAGCACAAGTCGGCCACCAGTAAACAGTCCCCAATGTCATTTTTTCCCCCCCACCTTTTGCTCGGGTGCCAGGAAATTTATTGTGCTTGCTCAGCCGTGAAGAAGGGCTTTCACATTCAAGAATCATATTGCAAGGACACACTTTAACAGCGTAACAGTCTGTGTCATAGATGCACCGCATACAGTCTAGATCACAGCTAACCAGGATATTTATCTGACAAAAGGTGAGTGTTTTTCGCCCAGGTTAGGGTCGGGTTCCCATGATCGCTCCGCCGCTGATGTCACAGTCGAATGCAGCTGCTTGACGCTAGCTTTGGGTTAGCCTGAGGTGACAGTGCAGCAGCTTTGTGCTTTCAGAGGCCATGCGTGTGGTGCTTAGCCCGAGCAGGGTGGAGGTGACGGTGGGGGAGAGCGTGGTGCTGAGCTGCAAGGCCACGCACGACACGTCGCTGGACGTGGCCTTCCAGTGGTTCTTCAACCAGAGGCCAATCAACTTTCAGCACGACGGCGGCCACTTTGAATACATCCAAACAGTAAGAGCAAGAGTAAGAGCAAAAGTAAGACAGATGTCTGCTTCTTGTTGTTTGTTTTTGTCATTTATTTGATTTTTTTTTTTGCTCAAATTTGTTGTGGCTCAACATATTGAATTAGAAATCCATCCATCCATTATCTACACACCGCTTAATCCACACTACTGGACAGGTCACCAGTCTATCACAGGGCTACACTTAGAGACAGACAACCAAGCACACTCACATTCACACCTACAGACAATTTAGAATCACCAATTAACCTCAGCATGTTTCTGGACTGTGAGAGGAAGCCGGAGAACCCGGAGAGAACCCACGAACATGCAAACTCCACACAGAAAGATCCCGGGTGTCCTCACCGGGACGCACACCGGGGATCTTCTAACTGCGAGGCGACGATGCTAACCACCTTGCAGCCCTCAATACAACATATTAAACCAAAAAAAAAGGTTATACTGTCTGCTAAAGGTCAGACAGCCTCGAGCGAATCATGTATATCAGTCTGTTCTGTTGTCTCAAATTGCACCTGTGAAATTTTTATGAAAATTAATAAATTAAAAGAGGCTGACTCATGCTGACTTTGAGAGGTAATAAGGGTCAGAAGAGGGTCAGCTATCATCAAGAATGAGAAATAGGAAGGAGACTTTGTCAATATTTAACATAAGCTGCTGACATCTGCTTTTTCGTAACTGTGGTTTTTGTGAAAACGTGGTTATCGTACAACAACTACAGTAGTTTCCTCCATCCTGAACAGGCACTGTTTATATTTGTTTGTCTGTTTAACTTTAGTCAAACAGATAAATTGCTTGACAAGGCTGCATTGTTCACATTGCCATTTCACCTTTTTGTTTTTGTTCCTGTTTCCGATCTCCTTTTACTCTTTGAATAAGTGGTGATCAACCCTTTTCACACAAGTCAATTTTGTATTGTTGCACTACAACAACTTATATTTCCCCTGTCCGCAATACAAAAAAGTAATTGTTGACTAAACCATAAAATGAAATTAAATGCAAATTAGCAAGAGAGTAGGGGGTCCTGTTTATGTCACTATTCCTTTATCAACAGGGGATGTTAAAATCACATCTGTCCCGACGTGTCCTCCGCCACAACCCGTGCTCTGGAGAGAAAGCATTTGCAGTGACAATCCTTTACAGGCACAACAGAAGCCTTGCTGATGCATGGTTTGTAATTTTAATCAGGTTTCGTGCTAAACAGCTGCCTGTAGACCTTGAATCATTCCCAATCTCGCCTTAGGCATTTCTCATTTCAACAGAGAGAAAATACGAGTAGCTGAAGAATGTAGCACCAAGCAAGCACCTGAATTAAACAGGACTTTCTCAAGCCACATGAGCCTCTACAAGATGTAAAGGAATCACACTTTTTTGTGTCAAGCACATTAGGGTTTGCCTAATACCTAACTTTTTTAATGCTTTTTCTTTCCCAATTGCAGCAGTCTTCAACGGTGGATCTGATGATCAGGAGCATTTTGTTGAAGCATGCTGGGAAGTATGGGTGCAGGGCCCAGACCAGTGCTGACACTGTGTTTGCAGAGGCTGAACTTCTCGTGCGAGGTGAGCTTGTTGTCCGTCAATGCACCGATGCTCTGTGACGTCTTTTACGCTCTTTACCGGAGGCAGTGACTCACTGCCCCCATTGAACTAATCCACAACCATGGAGCAGAATTAGCTTATTATTCTCATACTCAATTACTGAGCCAAGTAGAAAAGGCTGCGTAGGCGCCTGCTGTGTTTCTACCTTTTTCTTGTACATTGACAGCTTCCTGTTTAGCTTGTCTCCATTTCTGCCATTGGAATTAAAAGCAGGCCTCAGAACTGTATGACACAAAGTTTTGAAAGTTGGCACACTGACTGGTGTCAGTCACCTGATTCTTTTCACAAAGTTTCGTTTCCGCATCTCAAGCACTCTAGCGCCACCAATGGGTTGATGTTGGGAATTCATCATGAACATAACAATAAGCCTGATTTTCAAAAATGTAGTGTAATGGAAAAATACTGCATCTGCATGAAGAATGTCAAAGCAAGTTTCACTAACTTCCATTAAAGCTGAGTGGAAAGGGTTAGGGTTAGGGTTACCCAAAAATGTGTTCTCATGACATCTAGGTAAAACACTAGTGGCCGTACATGGGAAGACGAAGTTGTGCATCCCATGTGTTTAGACTTTTGATGACTGATCCTGCTTGTTTAGTCTTCTAATGTCTGTGGATGAGTACACCCTGTACACCCAGCTGTTGTTTTCCAGCATGGGATTGTTCTACTACCATTGGAGTAAAGACCACGCCTGTACATGTATAAGAATACCACGCTGCCTGCATTCATGTGTACTCTCCTGCAGACTGCTTGCATTCTGTATGACCTGTACCTTTAAAGCTTTGAATAAAACGAGACAAAGACAACTCGGACTACTAGACTTTCTGTAGATCATAGAAAATTTCCTCAACAGTAGAACCGCTGGATTCTTTGGATAAAGCTCAAGCAAGTTCAAAGCAATTTTTGTCATATTTTATGACAAGGTTTTTTTTTTTTTAATCATGTGCCCCGATTTTTTGAATCATCCCCAAATTTGATCTCTAGACAAAGGCTCATAAAAGTTAGTTTATGGATTTTTGATTTTTGAAAGCTTTTGTCCATCACAACCATTCGAAAACCAGCAAAGAAGTTTTATCAATCAAAACCAAACTTGGTACAAACTTTCATGAAGCAAAACTTCTTGACTGAAACCAACGATTGTCGTGTCAGGTAATAATGTGGTAGGTCCCAAGGCTTAGACATGTGAGCAAAGCGAGGTAGAAACAAATAAAACGCAGGTCGAAATTGACAATACATGCTGTCCTTTTTAAGACAAATCTGTTAGCCCAGGGGCTCATATCAAGTTCCTTTCCTTTTTCTGCATATCTGCTGTTTATTGCTCCTCCTTGGTTCACAGCTTGACAACAGCTTGATAATAACGTTGATCCCGCCCACAGCACTAATTGACTAGCTGCGAGTTCTCCTTACGGCGCTGATTGGACCAATCGCTGTGTTCCATGTCACCATTTTTAAATGAATCAGTCAACTCGGTGTAGTGGACGGATTCAAATGTCTAGAGGCGACCAAAACATTCCAGGTGGAAGCCACGCGGCAGAATTTTTGCAAGTACGTAGACACGAGTAGACTCTTTCCCAAGTAATTGTTTGGATCTGAAAATGCAAATGCCCCTTTCAGCAACCTTCTAATGGGCACTTTTTGGGGACATAGTACATTGATTTTCACTGAGCGCACCACCTGCCAGCTTTTCATTTACAGCTGTTTCCCCTAGAGTCTTTAGACGTTTGCTGCACTTGCAGATTACATTTACCTCTGAAGACTGAGGTAAACATATGTTCAGCTGTATTAAAACAGAGGAAGGTCTACCACACAGTCGTACTCAGCAGAACTGGCAAACTGCCTCCGAAAAACCCAAGAAAGAAAGCTTCAGTATCCCTTAATCAGCATGAAATCCGTGGCAGCAGATCTGTGTCAGCCCCGAATCCTTGTTCAGTTTAGTATCTCATGTTCGTTTCTCTTGTTTGTTTGTGTACAGATTACAACAGAGAACTGTTGTTGTCACCATATGCACACAGCTGCACATCCTTACTAATGCTTGCATGGTTGCATCCATTAGTGTGTCTAATTGTAACAATCCATGATGAAGACATCACAATGGACCGGCGTAGAATTGATTCAAACCGCAGCGCAGATTGTTTTTTTTGTTTTCGCTCTCTGCCTCGACACTTCTGAAGGATCGGCGGTCCAGACGTTCACACCTATAATTTAAACCGTGTCTTCTTCCACCAGGCCCTCCCGGACCCCCCGGAGTGGTGATAGTGGAGGAGATCACAGACACCACGGCCACGCTGTCGTGGACTCGTGGCTTGGACAACCACAGCCCCATCAGCACCTACAATTTACAGGCCCGGAGCCCATTTTCATTAGGCTGGCAAACTGTCAAAACAGGTAATCAATAGGGAGCAAATTGCTGCCTCTAGATCTGGGAGGTTAATGTGGGGCCGTATACAAAGGCCTTAATCCTGTCCAAAGTCATAGGCGGAGGTGGAGAATCAGCCCAATCAGGTCACAGGTTTTAGGAAAGAATTAAAAATTTCCTGAGGTTGTTTAATTTTACATTATGCTAAATCTCAACCAAATCTTACACCGTTTAATCAGGACCAACTTACAACCAAGACTTTCTTCTCAGATGCCAGCTGAAGAAGTTGAAATGCAGGTCACTGTCTTTTTATGGTCGAGCTTGGCTGTTGTTCAGAAGAGCGTAGCAAAAAAAAAGCAATTTGAGCCCATATCAAATGTCATTGGTGTGAATTTTATTCCGTGTCATATCAGCAGTTAGCAGGAAATTAACCTTTCGGGCTCGAATTATAAGACTTATCCGTGTTCATTTAGTATAAATGCACTTTCGCCACTTAGAAATGAATTAGCATCTTCTTTTTTTCTTCCCCTTAACTTGACAGAATAACCATCAATTATTATCACTTAGCATTAAAGGATGAAGGCCTGCTAAGCATCGTGTGTAATCCATCTTAATATGCCGTGTGATAATAATAGCAGAGTTTAAGGTGCGATAATGATTCATCCCCACAGATGTATAAATCATAGTTTGTATACACTCCTCTCACATTATGTCCGTTCAACTGCGTTTAATTCGATAAAGCACAATTAGGACGCTGTGATATATTGTCAGTGTTGAACTTGTTGAGATTAGCATAAAGGGGATTGGGCTTTTAGCTCCCTCCTCCTTGCAAACAGAGTTATCGGCTCATGTTTGAAGAGCAGCTTGCTTGACAGAGTGGTCTCATTGTGAGCTGCTTTGGATGATAAGAATATAAGCTCCGCTGCTTCAGAGACCTCGGGTTCATTTGCGACATGGATATGCTTTCAGTCAATGTTTGTTTGTTATTGCGGGATCAATATTGACAAAGCTTGATTATGGCAGTCCTGGAGAAATTAGATTATTTGTATTACCTCCTTGTAATTCTGTTCTAAATACATTCATAAAACCTGATTCTTTTTTTCTGTCTCCAGTATGTGATTTAATTACAGAGCTCTGTTCTGCTAAAACTGCAGAAATTGATTGAAATAAGCTTCCCTCTGTGTAATGCTGTATACCTCCAAATGCGGCCTTAAACCGATAGCAAGCCGTTGTTCATGCATCAAAACGTCTCGTACCGAGTTTTAAGTAAATTGTGTGTCATCAACACCTGGTGTCAAAATATGCCAAATCACAGTAAATCTGGAGGGACGGTGGGAAACGGTGCAGCCCCCTCAGAGCTAAGACAATGTTGTGTTTAGTGTTTTTTGGCCCTTTACGAGACGAAATTTGAAATGAAGCAGGAGTTGTGAGGTTAAAGTCTCAGTTTTTCCACACAGGTGGAAGCAACTCGTAACCTTTATTACAGGTTTATTGAAGTAATTGGACAACATTCTCAATGTTATAATATGAAAGCTTCGTCGTTAATCTCGCGTTAATCCTTTGCGGCTAATGAATGCCTGTAGGCTGCGGTCCAGGCTCTGTTGCTCTGCCAGGCCGGTGCCAATTCCTGCTTGTTTCAGTCTAATCTTCAGCAGTGAAAGACCTGCTCAGTCACATGATTAAAGTTGGAACTTTTGAATATTTGGCCTTAAAAAAAACTCTGCTTTGTCTGTTCTTTGGGGGAAGTTTGCATTGAAAACACTGCCTGATAAAGCTGAGCACTTATGGCTGCATGAGGAGAACAGAGGTGCAGTGACTATAATGTGCTGCCATAGACTGCATAAAAGATGGACATAGCAACCGGCCCTGAAAAATGAAGCCAACCTGGAAGTGTCAAAAACCTGCAATATCACTACGTCCACTAGCTGCTGGCTCCAAAAAGCCCTGGCTCCCATAGACTGGAATTGGAAAAGAAGTGATCACAGATCATGAAATACCGCATTCCTACAGCTCAGGATTTATTTCTTATTAGTTTTCATGGTCAAATCCAGACATCAGGTGGCCAATCTGAAAATAAATCAATACTGAATTTTGAAAAAATCGTCAACATTTTGTGGGTCAAGGGGCGTGGCTGGCTTGATTGACAATCGGCAGCGACGATGCAGACGAAGCGAGCAGAAGGCGGTAAATGTGGGCGGGCAGAGAGGGCCTGCCTCTCAATCCGTCTGACCAATCGCTGCTCCTATGGCTCCGCCCCCCAAGATGTCAACCAGGAAGTAGCAAAACCCTGGCTTCATTTTCTCAGTGCAGAAACCAACGGGTGACGTCACGGTAGCTATGTCCATCTTTTATACAGTCTACATGTGCTGCTCATTCTGAATAAATTAACACACAAGAAACGTTCCTCTCTGCAGACCCAGACCCAGTGACGGGGGACCTGGAGTCAGCCATGGCTGTGGAGCTCAACCCCTGGGTGGAGTACGAGTTCAGAGTGGTGGCCAGCAACGCCATCGGCACCGGAGATCCCAGCGCACCCTCGAGAGGAGTTCGGACGAAAGAAGCAGGTAAAATCCCGTATGCAAACATTCATCAGTGGTGAGAGTCCAGAAAATTATCATTTAATATACTGTGTCCAAGCTCCAGCTTATGATTTATTGTCGATTTATTGTGGAGAGATTAGCCGGTGCCCCCACGTGCCACTTCATGACCATGCTGCACCCCCATTGTTAATATACTCAATTTTAATTGGGGAAGCAGTTGAAAATAAGCTGCTTATATAAATTTCAACAAGTTTAATGTTTCTGCTAAAGCAGCCTCTTCTTTAATGCCCCGCGGCACCGACACAGTAGAATACGCTATTTATGGCGTGCAGAAACTCACTGTGCCCCTCCACTAACTGCTCGTTTCCCGTCTATAAAACGCAATAATTACAAAGGTCAGTGGTCATTCCGAAGTGGCGTATTTAATCTGTCCCATCTCTTCAGGATAATTAACAAACTAATTACTGTATCTACTCACTGTTGTAGTAATCCATCTTTAAAGTTACAATACATTATGCAAATGTCAGCAAAAAAAGGGTTCCAGTTCAAAACGCAGCACTGGAACCCACAAATGGTTCCCAGTCAGATATTCCAATGCAACACTAAGTAGTAGAGTTTGTAGTGTTTTCTGATGCTGCTAAAGGTTTGTTAAGCATTTTAAACACATCAGTGTTTTGTTTTCATTCATGATCATTTAATCATTAGACCAATTCTAACTTTAAATTCTGCTCAAATTCAAAAACTGGGGCTTTTCTTTTCATTATTTAAAGATACGCTGACGTGTGTGTTTTTAGCGCTGGACCTATGATGCAGTGTTGCCCTTTTTGTTTTGCACAGTCCCATCAGTGGCACCGGCCAATGTTAGCGGAGGGAATGGCCGCAGGCACGAACTGGTCATCTCATGGGAGGTAGGTCCTCTGCCAAACTTCCCTCTGTTGCACAAGTGTGACAACATGTGCAAGAGCCACAAATGTCACAGTGGGACTGTTTCTTCCAGGAAAGCAAACTCTGATTTTTTGTTGAATTAACCAGCGTTAATCGAAGCCTTTATACAGGCTTCTCTCACGTAAAAATAATGTTTTTGGCTTTTAAAAAGGGGGATAAAAATGTTATAGTTTCTTGGGAGCTGCTCCATAACCATTGACTTTAAATTATTTAATCCATGAGTATGAAATGGAAACTTAGACAACATAGTGATGTATAGTGATGCTGTGCAGTCAAAGATTTAAGAGAGTAATATTTTATGGACAACCTCAGTGTGATCCCTTAAACCTTTAGGCTCAACAAGCAGTTTTATAAATACAACTCCTGTTACTTGAAACAGGAACAAATAAAACCTTCCCATCCTTAAAGCAGGTTTATAGTAATCTGCAGCATCACAACGGTAATAAAAAGCGTGCTGCAGTCCTTCAGGCCACGTTCAAGAAGGAACGAATAGAAATAATGATCGTAATCAACCACAGCAAGTCACTGTTGGCTTAATAATAATAATAGTAATAATAATAAATGTAACCCCAAACAACGTAATAAATATAAATGCTGATTTTTCATTTTGGGATCTTTTTTTTTATTTTTATGAAATGGTCCTATAAAGTGCCTGTGGTAGTTAAAACCTCAGGCATAAAGTCACAGAGTGGTGATTATTTTTAGGAACAATTTACATAATTAAAAGTGGGAAGAAATCTATGGACGGTAAATATTCCTTTTTTTGTTTTAACTTGGAAATGTATTACTCGCCAGGATTAATAATTATGCTATTAAGTATGCATGTAAAGGAAATGTATTATATCCTGACACTTTTGAACCTGCAGGTTTGACGATTAGTAATCCAGGAGTAAAAACGATCCCACTGAAACCACAGCTTTGCCATTGTTCGCCGAGGAATTTCACAGTCACCGAGTAATAAATCCTGCATGTGAATGTGACTTAATAATCATGTAGAGGTTGCTGCTGCATGTGCTGTTCATTAAAAACCTTCACTTTTTTGTTTCCTGGGAATACTTGTCAGACGTTATTAAGGGGGATAAAGCATGGTTGATGGACGACGCTGCTCCTTGTGGTTCTAAGCTTGAAGGAAATGGTCTAATGATTTTACGATACACAGATGATTGAATTAGTTTACAGTCAGTTGCGTACACTTGAGGTGAAATATGGTGACGAGCTGCAGCTCCGCTCGCTGTGTGTGTGTGTGTGTGTGTGTGTGTGTGTCGTCTTATTCCCAAAACCATCAAAGTGGGATCTAATTAAAACATAAAGAAAAAAGTTTGAGCAGCTCAAGTGAGGAAAAATGACGAGGAGAGTCTGGAGATGTACGTCTGAAAATGGCTGAACGCGTTGTGGGGTTTGCAGACGGTATTTAAAGACACCGAGTCGAGCAGAGAAGGTCAACGGCGTGTCTAGAGATTAGACAGCTTCCACCTGGTTGATTTAATCTTTTACTTTTCTAAACATGCAGGGTGAAACAGTATCCTGTGGCAGGTATTCTTAACTACGCCGTCATTTCTGATTTTATACGTCGACTAGAAGTAACAAACAACCGCAAGTAAAATAAGCCTAAAATAGAATGAAAATGTTTGCAGTTGAAGTTCATAAACAAGATATTAGATCAGAGTGACGGAGGTAATGTTCCAAAGGAAAAATTAATGTGGCAAATTGCTAAATTGTCGCGCAGCTTAATGTTATTGATGAAGCTGGTTTCGGTTAACGTCCCTGCTCAGGGTTTGTGTGCAAGATGTGAACGGGTGTTTTTGCTGAGTGCCAGTCTGGTGACTTGCTGTACATCCTAGCAGGAGGAGAGCTGCATCACACAACCACATTTATACATTTTTAACCTGTCTTTTATTTAGTTTTTCTGCCCCCCACAAACTGCCCTGATCACAGAGTCAAAAAGATTTAATTTATTTATCACAGCACTGGTGCCACATTAAACATTAATGAGTAATGATTCTCAGCCGTACTCTGTAATCCATAGTCGGTAGGTAGATTACACTCTGTACCTTCTATTCTCTGTGCTCTGCAGCCTCTAGCAGGTGATGTTACAGCCGCAAATAAACAACCGATCCAGTGTTTACAGTTTGTGCATCAACCACCAGACTGTCGCAAAATAACCACAGAAACCTCCGTGTTTACGTCCACTTCAGGTTTTTGTATTTTGATCAGTTATTCTGCTGTCGGACGACAACGTTGTTCACACATTCCTTTTAAAAATTTTAGCTTGGTTAAAATTTCCCTCTCCACTGATAACTTTCTCAGTACTGAGCTATTTATGCCAGGCCTCTCCATCCAAAAATAACAGGAACACAGCTGCACACTTCATCTTCAGTTACACAAATCTGGCTTGAATGATACCAGGAGACGCACGTTCTTAATTACAGTACAGGTAGGCAGGCTGATGCGATTGCTTGCTCAAAAATATCAGGATTTATTGATGTTCAAAATTCTAGTTTGTGGTAATCAATATTAAAAATCACCTTCAAGTTTTAGTCTAAAGATGAAGCAGACAGATGTTTGGTTGCCGGATTGTCATCAGTTATTTACAGCGAAACACTGTCAAATATAGACCTAAACATTAAAAGTAAGTTTGCAAATACAGTAATAGAACATAAAAACTGCTTACACTGTATATATGGACTTATGATGGATCATTATATGCAAATCAGTGTCCAGAAAGCATGAATCCATTTCATGCATTTGAGAAATCAGTGCAGATCCTCTAGAGATTGTGATTGGCCATGAGTGTCACATGCTCTGACACACCCACTTATAATGCATGATAATATATTCTTTCTTATCTTAGCCTGTTGTCTCGTGTGCCGCAGGTGTGCCAGACACAGCTGGTCACAAGGACAGCAAACTGCACTTGGCACAGTCCTGGTGGATTGGGCTAAAAAAAAAAAAAGGCTCCTTAATGTGATGCTGAATAATTGCTGTAATTCTAAAAAGAATTTCAGAATCCACACCCCGTCATTTTGGAGGTAAAAAAAAAAACACGGAGCGCTCTTTCTGTAGCATCACTACTGTAGCAGCAAACAAGCTGGTCTGCAGGCCGTTCTGGACCGCGCCACAGCTGTACACAAAGGCAGACTAACCCAGGTGGTGATGCACTGAACCGCCCAGGAGCCGTGACCCTGCTCATAGAAAAAGCCAAAGAGAGATGCACATCCTCTCCAGTGGGATAACACAGGGGTGGAGGTTGAAGTCTTCACAGCTATCAGAGCGTTAGGACGGAGGGTCTAGTGGGTTGTGAGGGGCTCAGGTGAGCACTCATCATTAGAGCAAAGCAACCTTTTTCCATCTCAGAAGAGGAGACGTGGTCGACCCATCTGCTGGAGTATTCTGCATGATTTTGTTGCTTTCGATGAGCAGGTTGGTAGAAAAGGAGAAATCTTCAGCCTCACTGGGACCGAATAGTTTTCCAGAACATAAATAATATGTTGATTTTCCCAATGCAACACACGTTAATTTCACAAACTTCTTCATATAACGACTTTGACTAACCTATAGTTTGTCTGCGTATACATTCAACACATACGCAGGGCGTTAAAGCAGCTATCACTGACTCCTGATTTTCAGATTTGTGGAACTCGTGTCACAGTTTTGCAAGCTGTGAAGACATTACCAACGGGGCAAAAACTCCTGCTCTAATATTAACAACAGCACAACAGTTGCTCAAGACCGTAGCTCGCTGCATTTTAAACAGCTCCCCAATTTATTCTGTTGAAATTTGTTTAACCATCCAGGATCTTAGAGTTAGAGGGCATAACTCGGCCACAATTGCAAAAGTTGCTGACAAAGCTCAAAGGAGGCCAGCTGGGCCGTGTAGTACACAGAGCTGCATCAGCCAGGCAAGTGATTAAGATGTAGTGAATTTAAAATTTGGTCCCACCAGAGAGGCACAATGATGATTAACCTTGACTCCCGGAGTCGTTCCCACTAAATCCAGGGTTGTTTATGAATATCTGTTTGTAATCTGGAGCTACAATGGTTGTACGAAATGTAATAAATCTCGCACCAAGTAAAGGAGGATATTAGTGTGAGCCATTTCCAAGTGGACAGCTTGGCTCCCAGCCAGAGTCAGGGCAATGCATGTACGGAATCACTATGAGCAAAGCTGAGAATTTGCAATTGAGATCAGTTGAAGGATATATTAACAGGGGAACAGTGAACAGATGTGGAGGCAACTGACAGTTATTCTTGTAGTTATTAAGTATGGGAGCCCAACTGCCACTGGGAAGATAACCTTCACATCAGGAGAAGTGCACCTCAGTGGCACATTACGGGGGATAATGTCCATTCCAGATGGGATGGTGTTTGGTGGTAGACCATTTCCTATTTATAACTCAAGAGTGTCATTAGCTTGGCCAGTATAACACAATGACAACCCCCCCCTTATAACCCCATGTTGAAAGAACAATCAGGGGACACTTAAAGCTACACAAAACCGTGATTGGTGCTCGGTTAGACATAAAAACCCATTAAAGAGTGAATGAAACAGAGTGACTACAAAAAGTAATTCTTAGCGAAGCCGTTTCTGACCCACAATTCTCTCGTCGAGGCTCAAGAAACTCGGTTATAAAACGAAATAAATAAAAAATGGCAGAACAATTAGATTTTTTTCGGCATAAAACTGAGAGTGAACGTTGCTTAGTCTACTCATTTGTTTTTATTCAGACTTTTTCAGTCACTTCAGAACATGCCGTGGTGAAAAATTAAAGCTTGAGAATGGTGTTTTCTCTCTGCCCATTGTGGGGTACAAGAATTGGTCACCCATCAATAAGTCTGTCAGTTTTCTCAGAGTATCACAGTTACAATGCCGAGATGCCCCACTTTGATGCAGCAGCCTCCTTTTTGGTACTTGGCATTTTAAGTCCTTTTAGCTCTGCCCTATTTATTCTTGTTTCTACTAAATGCTTTTGGAAATAAATCAGCGCTCCGTCAGTGATCAATGGAGATGGATATTAAAGGAGACGGAGCAGGAATGTTCGCCCCTTTTTGGCAGTCAAGGCATGTGAGCGCGTGGCAGTTCTGCCTTTCCAATCATCTGTGGAGAGTTGTCAGAGCCTGGACGGCCATGGTGGGCAGGGTTATTAAGCAGGATGAATGACTAAACAGTCTCTGCAGCTTCATTCAGCCGTCTCATTAGAGTCGACTGTGAGAGAGAGCGCTTTTTCTCGGGGAGAGCCATAGGGACGACCATTAGTGATGCCCTCGCAGTCACCGTCGCTGAGCCCAGCAGGTCTCACAATTTCATCCACGAGACTTACCGCCGTTTTATCAGCCCCCGTCACACTGTGTCCACACCGATCGGCCGACTGTCTCGCTTCCTAAAACCTGCGAGTGTTTCCGAACTTAACTTGCTAATTTGTTCACTCTGGTTTATTTTTTTGAAGACCCATATTCCTTGGCATCCCTTTAAAAGCGTTGCCAGCTCTGATAATAACTTTGATGGAAGCTAATTCATTCCCACAGATCATGCCTGTAATTAGGTAGTCATGGTGATTGGTCCTTGTTGAATGAAATGTGAACTACAGCTCCATCCACCGCCAATCCCTCTGCAGACTACATGGCTAATATGGGTGATGCCTTCGGGGTGCAATATTACTCCGAAGCTTATGCAAATCAACACATTACAGCATGAGGCGGCAGACGTGTTTGCCAAAAACAGGTGTACAGGTGTTTGTCATTTATTAAATTTAGCCAAAGATTTAATCCCTGCAGCTCATATTTTAATTAAATTCTAGCTCACTTAATAAATTGGCATTTGATTTGATTAAGCACAGAGCAGCTGTGGAAGACAGCTCCCAGTTTCACCACTTCAGGAAAACCACAGATAATCAGTGAAGCCGGCACACAAAACCTGTGTCCCAAAAATCCTCCTGTCAGACATGGATAGATAAATAGCTACATAATGGGCACAACTGAGCCAGATATGATTTGTTTCCATTACTCGGGACTGACTGCATCTTTATTAACACTGGCACACAGTTACAGTAAATGGGTAGGAAATTGAAGACTGGTTATATGGTATTACCAGAGAGGGGTTTTCTTTTTTGCACTGAAGGAGCTGTCCAGATGAGAAAATGTGCAAATGATGCACTTTCAGCCACAGAGTTTAAGTGCCTGTAATCCAGTTTTGCTCTCAAATTCAGCGAAAGACACTCTCTGATGATCATTTCTTTTCTGCGCCACGTTTTCAGCCCGTGTCTGAGGAGTTCCAAAATGGCGAGGGCTTCGGGTACATCGTTGCATTTCGAGCCAACGGGACCAGAGGCTGGAAGGAGAAGATGGTGACTTCGGCCGATTCTACCATGTACAAGTACAGAGACGAGACCTTCCCTCCTCTCACCCCGTTTGAAGTGAAGGTCGGCGTCTACAACAACAAGGGGGACGGACCGTTCAGCAAAGTTGTCGTCATCCACTCAGCTGAAGGAGGTGAGTTAATAGTCTTTAAAGCTACAGAGGGGATAGTTTTCAACCGTTTAATAACCGTTTCCATTTGTGTCACAGAGCCCAGGGAAGCGCCGTCTGATGTGAAAGCTTACAGCATTTCTTCATCTGAAATTAGGGTGACTTGGAAGCCCCCCAATCCTGGCCCCGGAAAACCAAGAGGATATGAGGTTTTTTTAGAACCCGTCCTTGTACTTTTTTACATGCCTTTGCGCCGCGTGAGTCGAGCTTTGAGAGCAGTCATTTTTCAATCCGTGGTTTCTGTTAACAGGTCAGCTACTGGAAAGACATGGAGCAGGAGGAGTCGGGGCAAAAACAACGTACTGTGAAAAACGAAACATCCATGGTCTTGACAGGACTGGAAGGAAACAGCGTGTATCTCATCACAGTAAAAGGCTTCAACAGCATCGGCCAGGGTCCTGCCAGTGCTGCTGTCACAGCCAAGACCAGGAAAGCCCGTGAGTGCAGCAGTGACACTAATCATGTACTTCTATATATGGAATACAGGCTACCTGTTAAGTTTGCTCAAAATCTCCTTGTAGAAAAAAGTGTAGTAATTGACCTAGTTGGTCGAAACTCTGTTTAGAGGAGTGTTAAACTCTTGTCTTCTCCGTGTAGCTCCCGCTCAGTCTCCGACCAACCTCATGTGGATTCAGGAGGGCAACAACGTGTCATTAAGCTGGGACCCGGTGAAGGCAAAAGACAACGAATCTGATGTCATCGGGTACATGGTAATGATCCTTTGCTGAATGATGTTGGCTCGGTTTCATGAGATGCAGGGAAATGTTGAAGCGGGGAACAAGCACATTTCTGGTTCTGTTGTATTCACTGTCTTTCATTTTTCCTCAATACATCCACGAGTTTTGGCGTGAAAATAAAAAAAATCCAAAGACAAGAAAACAAACACCCTGCTGGGTTGTTGGTAAAATGAATATTATATAAAATATGGGGAATAAAAGGATCTCATTGCAATGTGAAAGAGAGAGATCTCACTCCTCTTTGTACCAAAGATGAATAACAGCATATTTTTACAACCTCTTTTCCTATTGGCTCGTTGTAGGGTCATATGTTTATATGGGTTTCTATACCACGTATAACTCCTCAATATGACCAAGACATCTCCTTAGATTGTAGACCTGAGCTCTCTTCTGTTCTGTCCAACACACACATCTCACAATACTATAACCAGCAGTCAGCCTGAAACTCTGAACACGTAAGAATTCTCTTTTTTTTTGAAAATGGTTAAACATTAGCAACTTATTATTAATAAAAAAAAAATGCTACATAAATAAATGATGACCTAAGAGCTTAGCATTGATTTTACTTTCACACTCTCCTGAATGAATTAATATCAGTGTTTATATTTAACTTCTTTGATGGGAAATCATGTTAAATGCATTCATCCTAACATTGATCCACAAACCACAGGTAAAGTAATTACTGCATTTATTATGACAGTGTAATCTTTACCTTCAGCTGCCGGTAGGTTTTAGCAAAACGCTCATTTGGAGTCAACATTGACGTCTTTTCTGTGCACACAAACCTGTAAGTTATGACTGTTTTTAGCATATCTGCTAACACAGCTGCCTCACTCACTCTGTGCTGTGAGGAAATAGGGGACTGTGACAAACGATGAGTGTTTTGCAGGGAAAGCATACGCAGCTGAAGTGTCTTTGTGCACGTGTCCTGCAGGTGTTACTCAAACAGGAGGGCAGAGGCCACAACCAGGTGACCAGAACCATTAACCCCTCCACCATGCTCTCACTGCCAGAGGGAGGCACTTACATCATTGAAGTGCGCGCACTCAGTGAAGGGGGAGAGGGAGCGGTCAGCTCCCAAGTCCGAGTTGTCACCTCCTCCGGTAAGCTCCAAGCCGGTTTCTCGCCTCCGATGACCTCTGAAATCCAATCTCTATGCAAAGGCTGTGTTCTCTTTGTAGCAATCTTAAGTCCTTCCCTTAATTGAGTCACCGCAGCTGTTGTGCGGGCCAAGTTTTCTTTGGCTAATACTGTTTTAATTACCTCGCCCACACAAACCTTCCTACTCCTGCATAGCCAATTAACTTCCAAGTAACAGGACGAAAGTTTGCATTCCTGTGTGCGACCAGCCAGCCTTTTCAAGATTGCTGTTTTACTCCGTGTCTCCGGTTTCCTTCAAGGTTGTTTTTCTGTCCTTTTAGGAAAAAGACGTTTTAGTTTTCACTACTCCAAACTTCAGTCGAAACATCAATGGAGTTATTTAGCATTAGGCATGAATGCATTTGTTTTCATGTGTATCTCTCGCCTCTCTTAGGTGTCCGAGCAAAAAGCAACCAGTGCTCGGTGCACTGCCTGCCACAGAGCCTAGCATGGACAGCGCTGCTCCTGGTTCTTCTGGTGCCTTCAGCTTCCTGGTGAGGCCGCTGTGCCGTCGTCACGTTCACGGAAGGGAGCCACCAGTCTTCTGCTCCCTCATTCCCTCTGACTGCCTGCTTGCTTTGGCCTTACCCATCCCGAAGGGGCCCGAGGCCTGCCGAAGGGGGATTGTGTCTGCCGGTTAACATGCAGCGCTTCAGAGTTCATCATCTTCAGTTCCATGTTTCATTCGAGGCCCTGGACGTTTAATTTGCACAGTTCTTTCCGACATCACGGTAGTGTTGTACTGTAGTGTACATTGTGAGGAAAGATTTGTTTAATCACTTACTTTAACATTATGTGTTCCTCTCATTGACTGGCATCTAACCACTTCCAGACGGCTCCTACAGCTCTGGGGCTCTACAGAGCATGAACAATTCCTCGAAAGCTGCTGTGGTAGTAATACAGGGATCAGCCGGCCTGTTTCTTTTCATTACTTATCTGCATCAATTTACCCCTTGGCTGCCTAACAAGCAATGCAGCAGAAGCTCAGTAGAGATAAGTGCATTGTTTTCTTATTCACACATTGAGGGTTGGGGGGGGACGTTTTTTATGGAACCAAGAATCTTACTATTTCCAGACTTGCTTTTTGTACATTGTGTTACCTTTAGAGACAAAACAGTGGTGTGTGTCAGCTCTGTCAAACTCTGTCTTTTGGTAGCGATGCTTGGTAATACAGTTTGTTGACTGTTGGATGTATGGAAGTAGGAAACAGGTACTCACCTGTAGTGCCCAAAACACATCAATAGACAAAGACGACTCTGTACGGACTCCTGGTGTCAGTACAAATAAATGTGATGTATATTTTTTAAATGCTTGTTGTTTGTAATTTCTAACGTTTAGAAGAGGATCATTCATGGTGAGGCACTGGGGGTTACAACTATTGCTTCAAGATGTGATGATGTAATGAACATTTTGTCTACGATGACCCAAAATAGGAACAAAATGACATCCAGAACAGAGCAGAAGTTCCTTAATATACAGTTTAGAAATGCATCAGAATTTTTTGTTCACATCTTCAGCGCTTTCATGCACCTAAAAGCTATCACTTTGAGCGACGCATATTTCCCATGACATGACTTTCTATATGGCCTCTGTAGCCGCTATCATATCACTGCTCTGTCAGACAGTTCTGCACTTGAAGGAGCCTTTCCCAAGTGTTACATAAAATATGGATGGATTGAATTCCACACACGTGGCATTGGAGGCCACAAAACTTTGTGTGATAAAAAGAACCTCTGCAGAGGCAAATAGGGCAGCATCAAGAGTATCTCTCCTTCCTCTCAGGCTCCTCTCTTGCCTTGTCTGCAGTAAAAAGCTTATCTCTCACCGGGCAGAAATCCAAATGAATTTGCCTGAAGTGTAATTAATGTTAGTATGGAGATCTGTAGTTCTAAAGCCTGCGTGCTTGAGCAGACCTTTTGCTTGCTCTGCCTGCAGCCCTGTGGACTCCATTACAGAGGCAGAGCAACCTGGCTCACCCGCGCAGGTTCAGGCAAGGGTACCAGCTCAACCACAAGAGATAGGACCACACAGCAGCAGAACAGAGGACGAACACTGCTCCAAGCACTGTCTATCCCTTGGATGCGCTTCTTTCAGACCTCTCTGTTTTGGATGCATTCAGAAAGGGGGAGGATGGTGAGGTTCGGTCTCCTCTTTTCCAACTTGTACATCATTTGTAGTGCAAAGCATTAAGCTGTTTAATGTGGATAGAGGGGGTTTTTTTTGTGGTGCTTTTAGCCTGTTCAATGACGTCGGCTCAAACACATGCCTCTACACAAGTGCTAATGTACCGACCTTTAATTATTCATGCAGCACCTGTCTGTGTTGGCGCATCTGATTTATGATAATGGATTATGTATCCTGCAAGGGGACCCATTTGGTTCAGAGAGCCAGAAGCTATAGTGTCAGCAATTAAAACATGCACTCCCCTTAGGTTAATGTCAGTGTGTGTGTGTGTGTGCACGTGAGTGTGTGCAGGATATACTGTATTTTTTAAGGCATCTACAGTATGTTATATTGGATCATTTTTAGGCTAATGTACACAAACTGTTTCCAACGCCCCTGTTTGCAGTCGTGTTTTGTACAAGAGAAATATATTTTACTAGCATTTAATTTTTTTACTGACTGAATATAAAAATGGACCTATAAATTGCTGTCAGAATCTGTTCTAATTATTTTCCATGCTTCATTGTGTGCGTTAGGGGAAGTAAAATGTAATAACACCAAATGTGATAAACCCAATAGCAGCACACGTGATCTGACCCCGAAGCCGATCTGGTGCTGAAAAGGATTTATTTTTTTTAGATTTTAACAGAGGTGTTGAAGTGATGTTCTCTCCTCTTCATTCTGATTCTGCTCTCTCCGAAAACCTAAACCATGTACACAAGGAGGTGGACTCCGCCGTATCAGAAAACCCTTCAGATATGATATCCCGGCGAATAACAGTTGATACTTCTGTCTTCATCCGTTCCCCAACGTCCTTTAGCCTCCTAAAACTTACAAAGTCAAGTATTAAATTGTCTCTGCGGCGTTGTTGTTGGGGGGGGGGGGGATACACGCTGTGATTTAGAGCTGAGCTGTGACTTTGCTTTTCAGGCAGGTCACAGTTTAACACTCATCCTGAAATTGGCTGGAAAGTAGGGCCCTCCAACAGACGCTGCTGCTGCTGCTACTGTAAGAGGCGAACTGTAATATCATACAGGTGAGTTCCTGTGCAGCATGTACTACTTTTCTGTCTTGATTCACACAGGAACAGAGTTGCATTTACCAAAACTAGCACAACTTTTGTGGGTGAATGAGACCAACATGTGTTCATGTGCAACAACAAAAACTACTTCTGAGTAATCATTTAATCCCCTTTACCATCAATATGTTTCACAAACGCAGCATTAGGATGTAATTAAAGGCTTATGAGTGATTTAAATCGTCTTTGGCAATGAAACATTCTTCAGATAAAATCATTTCTGAGCCGTGGAGTCACGACATCCTGTATGTTTAGGTGTCCGAATGTACAAACTGCTGGGACTTCTGATACAGAGAGCTAATTTGTGTTTGCTGTTGGAGGTTTCTGTGATGTTTGGATTTTCGGCCCGTCGGTCCCCCCTGGCAGTGGCAGGAGTGGCAGAGAATGAGAATTAGGGAAGTGTGCCATGTTCTGTTGAAGACTGTGAACAGAGGGATTAAAGGAGCAGCTTTGCAGAGAGAGTCAACATCCAGCATTGTATTGCACCAGTCCAGTAATTACTGAAGTTATAATTGAAGTTGTCTTTTGACCTCTAAAACCAGCTCCATTGTCAGGAAGCCAAAGTGCACAATGTGTTTGAATTTTTTGAGCTTTGCTTTTCCTGCTACCTGCTAATTTTTTCAGACTGTTATTCTTCTTTGTGCCTGTGTAGCTGCTTGGCGAAGTCACTCAGTTCCACCTCACACTTTGCTCAAGAGGTCAAAGCAAATTTCTGCTCCTCAAGGTTAAATCCTGAAGAAATCTATTCAAGACGTGTGAAAATCTAATGAACTCTTCTGCAACTCTGGCAGACTTTATCTCTCGTGTCACACTCCGGTTATCATGTCCACAAAAATATAAGCTGGAGAAAGTTACTGGCTGCCACAAGGACGAGGATTTAAATGACCCGATGGACTTGCTTCAAGCACCAGCTGCCTACTTTATACAGAGGTGCACGCATATAGGAGAACGTGTACTGTTTGCGGTGTTGGTTTTACCCGTCTGTTGTTGTCTTTGCGGCGCTGTTTGATGTATTTGAAAGAAAAGAGGGATCCACATCATTTATTTCAAATAAGGTGCTACATTATAAATACATTTGAATGCAAGGACGGCTTTAGCAGAAAGAGCGCCGACAAATGTAGCATTTAAAACTAACGCTTGAGGTGCAGAGATGTGTTTTGTTGTTGTTTGCAATACTCCTGCCTGTGTGATGGCATATGCTGTGCTATTAGAGGGAAACTTCTTTCTAAAAAAACACACCAGCTAATTTGATAAACTATGAACCCTCCCTCATAAGAAATTAAAGCAAAAGTGCCCTGCTGTGAGTCCTCATTAGAGAGACACATTTTAGACTAAATCTGAGAAGAAAAAAAGACAAATCTTGTTGATTAAGCTTTCTACCCCTTGTAGTTCAGGGCCATGTGTTTTCTTCTACTTGCTAAATATAACACTGAGGTATAGCCACGGGATGCATTGCGTCACTGTATTTACACAAACTCTAACGGGAAATTAGTCCACCGACTGCCTGCCTGACTGAGTGCAGGACACATTAGCAGACATTGTGCGCTAAAATGTTTGGCCTTTGCTGAACCACATCGTGTCTACCTGCAAATACTTTCCAAATGGTACGACGTGTCACTCGGCTCAAATAGGAATCAACATTTCCAAGAATGCTGCCTGCAGGTGTGATACCTTTCCAGGAAGTAAAAGTCACATAATGGTGATTTGTGTACACAGATCTTGGAATTCCTCCAAATCCCGGCAGACTGGAGAAGGTGCCGATTCAATTTGGAGATCTGAGCTACTTTTCTCTCCGTCCCATTGTGCGGGGAAATAGAACGGGACGGATGTGTAAATCTGGGGGATAAGGAGGGGAGGGGAGAAGGGGCTGCATTGGGAGATTTAAAGGTCAAGCAAGAAAACAGTTGGCTCAGAGCAGACCTCTGCCGAGACCTTATAATCTCCCCAGTTAGCCGCTCCTGTCACAGTCGGTCGCGTGGTTCCGTGCAGATAGCCGAATGCATGAAAGTGGGTGAAATTTGACACGGCGGTGACGCGCGCGTGGAGGTCACGGGGTCGCCGACATCAAGAAAGGGCTTTTTACCTGATGGAAGCAATAATGTGCACGAGGAACCTTTTGTATGAGCCGGTAATGATGCAGTCTGAAGCTGACAGTGGCAGCAGTTTAAGGGGCAATAATGTGCATGACGCGTGTCATTACATCCACCCTGAAATATGTTTTAAATGCTAATTTAATCACACCAGGATTAAAACAATT